GGGGACCTGTGGTCCTCCAGCACTTGCTGAACTGGTCAGCATGGCCAATGGTCACAGCTGTACAGGGCAATATTTGGAGGGTGCAGATTTCCCAGTCCTGCTTCCTGCCTTCTCAGACCTGGCATTGTGCCCTCACACCCCACAGCTCTTAAATGTCAGACTAGCACCAGGAAGACTCAGGTTCAATTCCTGCTCAGCTATGAAGCTCACTGGGTGACTGTGAGCCAGTCAACCTATCTCAGCCTAACCTACCTTGCAAGGTCGTTGTGAGGATACACATAGATGGTGGTGGGAGGACCTTGTAAGCTCCTTGGGGGTAAGAGAAGGATAAAGACACAACAGCCATAGCATCCTGCATATTTTTCTTAAAAACCAGCCACGACAGCGGCATTAGAAGGGAATCAGTGTTTCTTCAAAATATTAATAACAGTTTAATCTCCCGAGGGGCTCAGAGCTCCACGCTCCTCTGCCCCTCCCTCCAGTCAGCATCTCACTTGGCTTTACTTCGCCAGTGACAGCTTAGAGCTTTCTAATCCCTTTCCTGGACCCTCCTAGCATGGTCACCAAATTTTAACTGAGAATACAGGGATGAACGCCCCACCCCAAAGTTGGGGAACTCATCCCCCCTCTCCTCCCCAGCCTACATCCCTTCCTCAGTTCACCTCCTTTTGACTGTCTGTCACACATACGGAAGGATGCAGCCACCTCTGGGGTGGGACGAATAAGAGAACAGCCGTCCAGAACACCTCGGCACACTTGACAAGATGCAATCACAGCTCTGCTTGGGCTGTGAAAGGAAATTAGCACCATTTGCTGAATGGGAGCAGCCGTACCCGATTTAGGAACTGCTATTCCCAGAGAGACAGTCGAATGCTGATGAAAAGCAAAGAAGGGAAGGAGTTCCTGGGTTCTGGCTGGAGCTCTGAAGGGAGAATAAGCAATTTTAGTGCCTGATGGGGCCAGGGCCATAGCTAGGGGGTGGTGAGGTGGGCACCCGCCAGGGGCGCAGGCAATGGGGGGGGCACAAAATCAGCTTAAAATATGTCCGTAAATATAAATATTGATTATTGCCTCATAAGAAATGGTTTTAGAGGGTGAATTGAATGGGGGGGGGCAGGGTTGGAGGAGAGGCAGAAAGAAGAGCTAATTTGTCTGTGGCTAGGGGGAGCAACCTGGACGGTTCTGCCAGGGGCGCAAGATCACCCGGCTACGGCTCTGGGTGGGGCAGGGGAGCCGGAGACTCCCAGGCTATAGGCTCAGGTCAAAGAGCAGACAAAGTGGGGGAGGTATGGGGCTGGAAGCCAGGGCCCCCAGAGTGCTCTGCCCAAGCCTCCCACTGCCTGCTTGCAGAGGGTGGCGTCAGCACCAGGATGAGCGTGAGTCACATCTGCTCTTTGAGGCTGCTTCTCTCCCCCTCCCTCCCTCCCTCGCTTCAACAGGATAATGACTTCTCTTCGCTGCTGTAAACCCTTAAAGATGTGCAACTCAGAGAAAGCTCTGGCCATGCACGGCATTATGGGGAGCGGAGAGGCGGCTGAACAAAGCTCCTTGTAGCAGGAAGCGAGAGGAAAATAAACTCAAATGAGACTGCATCTTTCTCTCTCTCTCCGTGTGTAAATGTTAACTCCAGAGAGGCTGCAGAGAAGGGATGCAAGGCACGCCCAGCAGTGGGAGGGAAAGCAATGGCTGCCAAGGGGTGTGTCTTGACAGGTGCTTCTGGTGATAAAGTGTGAAGGGAGACAGGGCAAAAGAACATCCCAGAGGAAGGAGGCATTGCTGAGCACCAGGAGGCCACGGCTCATGCCAAACGGCAGCCCAGTGAAGCAGCCGCTGGGAGTCCAGCTTTGGTCTATGGAAGTGGGGCAGAATCACCAGGGAGGAGCATCACACACACACCCCGGCTCTACTTTTCTTCTTCATGTTAGCCAGCACTATGTAACTAGAAGGCTGCAGCGGTGTGTCAAATGGCGAAGTTGGCCTGCAAGGGGAGCTGGAAGGTGCTGTTTCTCCCTCCAAGTGCTTGGCCTTAGAACTGTGCCTGTACCTTGGGGCAGGGGCAGGTAGATGGAGGCAGGGAGCAGAGAGAAATCTGGGACAGAGGAAAGTGGGTGTTTCATACGCAGGGGGTGGCAGGAGGAAGATGCTGTGCTCTACAACAGGTTAGCCAATGTTTTGAACTGCAGCTCCCATTGTCCCCAACCAGCATGGTCAGTGGTCAGGGATTGCAGGATCCATCGGCTATCCCTTCTCTAGACTATCTGCATTACAAAGCTGAGGACTCAACAGCTAAAAGAGGCACAGAGGGCAGGTATAGGTTCTAGAAAATTCTCCCCCAACCCTCCCCACATCTGCTCCTTCAAACGGTTGCCATTTGCTCATCCTCTTCAACAGTGAAGGACTTTGACCCTGCAAACAGGTGCAAAAGCATTTAGTGAGGATTGAGCACCACTGGTGTTCTCCTTTGCTTGGTGCAACGGGGGGGGGGGGGACCGACCACAAACCAGCCACCACCTTGTATCCCTCTCCATCCAGTAAAGGTACAGGGGAGGGTACTGCTTTTGAAAAGGACTGTCCACCCTATAATTTCCAGCAAAGGAAGGAGACAGGAGGAGTCCACCCTATCTTCTGAGATGCATTGTTCATATGCAAACGCAGGAGAAAAGCCCGCGGTGAGTGACCAGGGCACCTCAAAAGGCTCTTCTCTCAGAAAGCTTTGCTGGTTGCCATAGTCCTGTGGCACACGGAACAGAGCTCTGCTCTAATGCAACATGCCCCCACCCCCGCCGTTTCCCCACCACATGGTAGAGCTCTTCAAGGCCATCCATTCCCATGCTATTATTTACCAGCAACCAGCACTCAGGGAGGGAGGACTGTCACCGCAGCTTTATTGTTATGGCCAGGAAAGAAAGGCAGTGTATCACATGACTAATGGGGAAAGGGGGGTGGGGGCTTCCTCCCTAAAGGTATACCTGAAAAACAGAACAGGTGGTAGAGATTCAGGAATAGAACCACAAGTGCCCTCGATTTCAAGAACACAGATAAAAAATGTGCATATTTCCTATGGTCAATTGTAAACTCTGCAGGCATAAATTTGTCTTCTGTGATTAGCAGGAGTTGCTAAATCTCACCCTCCCTGCCAGTCAGAGTGTTTAAACGTTTCCAAAAAGTTTTGCAACAGGCAGGGTTCTGTCTTGGGCCAGGTCTTATTCAACATCTTTATCAACGACTTGGATGATGGACTCAAGGGCATCCTGATCAAATTTGCAGATGACACCAAACTGGGAGGGGTGGCTAACACCCCAGAGGACAGGATCACACTTCAAAACGACCTTGACAGATTAGAGAACTGGGCCAAAACAAACAAGATGAATTTTAACAGGGAGAAATGTAAAGTATTGCACTTGGGCAAAAAAAATGAGAGGCACAAATACAAGATGGGTGACACCTGGCTTGAGAGCAGTACATGTGAAAAGGATCTAGGAGTCTTGGTTGACCACAAACCTGACATGCGCCAACAGTGTGATGCGGCAGCTAAAAAAGCCGATGCAATTCTGGGCTGCATCAATAGGAGTATAGCATCTAGACCAAGGGAAGTAATAGTGCCACTGTATTCTGTTCTGGTCAGACCTCACCTGGAGTACTGTGTCCAGTTCTGGGCACCACAGTTCAAGAAGGACACTGACAAACTGGAACGTGTCCAGAGGAGGGCAACCAAAATGGTCAAAGGCCTGGAAATGATGTCTTATGAGGAACGGCTAAGGGAGCTGGGCATGTTTAGCCTGGAGAAGAGGAGGTTAAGGGGTGATATGATAGCCATGTTCAAATATATAAAAGGATGCCATATAGAGGAGGGAGAAAGGTTGTTTTCTGCTGCTCCAGAGAAGCGGACACGGAGCAATGGATCCAAACTACAAGAAAGAAGATTCCACCTAAACATTAGGAAGAACTTCCTGACAGTAAGAGCTGTTCGACAGTGGAATTTGCTGCCAAGGAGTGTGGTGGAGTCTCCTTCTTTGGAGGTCTTTAAGCAGAGGCTTGACAACCAGATGTCAGGAGTGCTCTGATGGTGTTTCCTGCTTGGCAGGGGTTTGGACTCGATGGCCCTTGTGGTCTATTCCAACTCTATGATTCTATGATTCAGAAACCCAACAGGCACATTTCCACTTTAGCATGGAGGCACAGACACAGGAAAGCTTCATCTGCTGGACTTCTGCCCTGACATAGCTGCAAACGGTGGAAGAGCTCTGCTGGAAGTGTCTTTCAAAAAAGCCAGCAAGGTAACAAAATCCCCCCCACATGGTGCACATCTCTGCTTTTGTCTTGGGATCCTGGAGGGCTATAATCCAGACTCATGGCCAGTCCTGACAATACTGAGCAAGAGGGACACAGGATAGGCTCTGTAGATACACAGTCAATACACATACAAGGATGGGCAGCGACACACAGGATAAATATAGCACTCCACCGCAAGGCACCAGGAGGGCCATCTGCTCAAGGCCTGGCTTCAGCCAGGAGTGTGTGGTGCTGCCAAATTCTACTATATCCAAGGCAGGGCCAAGGAAAGGCCTGGCCGAAACCGAAGCAGCCCTCAGGCCTCCCATTTCCCTTCGTGACAACAGCAGCTATGAGTCCAAATGCTGATGTTTCCCCCTCCTTTTCAGCATTAGCCTGTTTCTTAACAGGCAACACACAGGCTAACTCTTGACTGTGTGCAGCGTCTGCCAGCATCCCAGGGCTCATTGTCGTGTTTCCTCATAACAACATGCACATGCAGCATCTCGACAACACAGCAGCTGGGATGATGGCAGCAGGGATATGTAGCAAATGCAATCGCCCTTGAAGCAGAACATCAAGGGAATGTGGTGGCTGGCCTGGCCTACTCTATACTGTTCAGATTACACACCCCTTTTAGGTGGCTGAACTTTCCCTTTCCAAACCCACCAGAGAGAGAGAGAGAGAGAGAGAGAGAGAGAGAGAGAGAGAGAGAGAGAAGCCGGCAGTAAACACAAATCATCTTGGAAGTTTATTCTCAGCTTAGCCAGACAGGCAGACATCATGGAACTTATTCCTCATCCTCTGGAGGCAGCACAATTTTGCTGGGGTCATAATAATTAGAGTCAAGCACAGGCAGCCCCTGTGCCTCCCGCTCTTTAATTTTCCGTTCAGCTTCTCGACGAGACCACTCTTCCATCCTGGGGGGAGAGACAAAAGAGAGACCAAAGCAGAGCAAGTTATTCCAAGGTGTCAACAGTGCCCTGGAAATACAGGAAAGGGCTACGGGGTGCTAGACTCCAACCTTCCCCAGCGTGGGGTCTTGGGACTCTCCTCTCCCCATAGCCCTCCGCAACGTAGCCAATGTTCAGGGATGGTGGCAGCTGCAGCCTGGCCACATCTGGAGAGCACCAGACCGAGGGAGGCTGCTCTACTGTAATGGGACCTGGCTCCTGCTTTGGGCCAAATAGGGCCAGAGGGGGACAGCAGCCAGGCTGCAAAAATGGGAAGAGGCCAGCTGCAGCCACTTGATGGACTGTAGGGAGGCAAGGTGCTACAGAATTTGGATTTCTTTGGAAGGAGGAAAGGTGAAGGGGTAGAAACACAAGGACACGTAAGTCAGGGGGAGCAGTTTCCCTGGAAGAGACTGAGATGGCCAAGCGGGGTGCAAAGCCTCTTTCCATGAGGCAGAGAAAGTGCAGCATTTGCATGACGATGAGGACCAGAAGCTCTACATTTCCTTAGGAAGCCAGGTTCTGCATTAGATACTGAATTCCACTCAAAGTTCAGCATGTGTTGGAGCACAGAAAAGTCATCACAGGCCAAGGCTGTTCGTGTCTTCAAATCAGAGATGGGATTCATATAGAATATTTAGGGGAGACAGATACTGAATGACACTTCTACAGAACTGCTCAAGCCCCACAGCACATTTCTCAGCATGCTTTCTGCTGCTCTAGGACAGGGGTGGGGAACCTTGTGGCCCCTTCAGATACTGATGGACTGCCAGTGCCTCCACCACTGGCTGTTGGCTGTGTTAGCCGGGGCTGATGGGAGTTGTAGTCCAACAACCTCTGGAGAGTCACTAAGTTCTCCAGTTCTGCTCTAGCAATGCATATAGGCACAGCTGATCAAGGAGCACTCGGAGCCGTTTGACTGTTATATCCTGGATGTACCACATTGGCACAAGGAGTTAGGAGTGTGAACCCAATCAAAGCTGCAGCATTAATTATACTGTGCTGAGATCAAGTGCAAAGCAGCTTGCCTTAATTAGTGCTTCATTAAGGAGTCTCCAGACTGCTGCTTAGCCCAGCTCTATTCAGTTTTGAGCTTCCTGTGAAAACATCAGAATCGCTGTGTGTGCATGTGAAAGTGAGAGAGAGAGAGAACAATCCTAGTCCAATTTCCTTATTAAGGTACGGACTGGCATGGCTCTGCCCAACAAATCACCTTTTGCCCCCTGCCTCAGCTGACCCAGGATAGACCAGTCAACCCAGTTGATCAGGCATGGCCCTTGCTTGCATTTGCTCTGGGGCTTCTTGCCTGAGGCTTAGTCAGTGCTCTTAGCAAAGGGCAAGTCCAATGCACACAAGCAGCTGATTCCACATACACAAACACAAACCAGACAGCTGCTTTGGTGGCTCAGAATGCAGTAATGGGACCTGGCCCAGTTTGCAGCCCCTCCCTGCTATTTCCATCTCCTCTTCCAACAGACAGCATGAAGTCAGGCAAATTTAACAGAGGGAGGAAGGCAGGATCCTTTGAACTCTCCCTGCTCTAGTGGCAAAGAGGAGGGAGGCAATGGCGGCAGCATCACCCCCTCCTTCCTAGTCTAGTGGCAGGAGTGAAGCTACCATCTAAGCCAGCATTTCTCAAACTTTTTGAACTCTGTCCTTCTTCCAAAACATCTTTCTATGCAAGCAGCGGCCCTCCCTTTGGCAAGCAGGCACACACAGTCCTCGTGCGCAACTGCACGTATGCAGCCCAGTGGATCAAAATGTGTGCATGCGGGTGCTCACTACTCTGGCCCAGGGAAAAGGGGGGGGGAGGAGAGAAAGATGTGGCCCGAAACTCCCAGTGTGTCCCCTTGCCCCTCCCTTAGTTCACATGCAAAAGCTTGGGTGACTACAAAGCCAAACCTCTGCTATGTCTTCCTGGTGCTGGATTTTCTCCCTCCCTGCGACTCTCATGCCCCCCCCCCAGTCTGTCCCACAGGGTCATCTACTCCATGGGTGAGGAATCTTCTTCAGTGCAGGGCCCACGTTCCCTTGGGGGCAAACTTCTGAGAGCCACATGCCAGTGGCCAAACTGGGCAAAGCAGCAAATATCAATGCTGCCTTTCAGGTACACAGCACTACAGTTTCTGCAGACGCTCACCCCCGCCCCCTTCTGTTCTCCACACAGGAGGACACATTTCCAGCAAGGCAGAATTATTTGGGGTGTGACTCAGGACCACTGAGGAGGGTGGCTGGGGGGGGGAGCTTTGGTTGCTCCCTCTCCAGCAAACCTCAAACTCACCAGCCAGGCAGTTTTATGCACTGCAGTGGAATACATTCTCCAAACAGAGGGCCACACTTCTGCCAATTCTTTGGCCACAGAAATTGCCCTGTAGAGATCTCAAAATGGGAGAGGCAAGATTTCAAGGAAAAAAGTGGAGCAGATACTCATGAGTGGCTGTGAACATTTTTATAAAATACATCAAAAGGACAGAAAGTATTCTGGTTCTGTGTAACTTCAGAAATATGGTTTTATGGTTGCCACTGACAAGTGAAGCAGCACAAAAATTTAGTGACTTTTAGAAGCTGCATTCAGGAGTGCTCTTTTTTGGCAAACATTTAGTAAGCAGAAGTAATAGTTCTTTTGCCTATAGCCATGAGGACTAGACACTTAGTCCCCCCCGCCCCAAAATAAGACCACAGAGTATCAGGACTAAGTGCCCATTTTGCATTTCAGCCAGCCATGAGCCACATTCTTTGTATGTCTCTCTCCTCTCACCCTCTGCAAAATGGCATGTCAATAGCTACAACTTCATAAGAAAAGACTGATGTCAGAGTATCCAGTGGGGGGAGTAAGAATGGAAGGGTACACTCTCCACTCCTAGTAGAGGCACTGGAGGGGAACTCAGAAGCAGGCTTTATTGTGGCATTAGCATTTCATTCAAGACTGATAACCCTGGCCCATAAAGTGCATTTACAAATGAATTTGCTCTCTGTTCCCTTTCGCCCCACCCCCACCCCGCACTCCAGATGTTGTGCCGCTCCTATGGGACAATCCCTTACATGAGAGAACACCACCTGATCAGCCACCTGAAGGAGGCAGGGGAGGGAGGGGAGGTTGTTGCCCAGAAATGGCCACTCACGACCTGCAGCGAGGACAATAATGCAAAGCATCAGCCTAAAGTAAGTTTAATTATTATTTCCCACTCCGCAACCACAGAGGATCTGCTTTGTCAGCTCATTAAGCGGAATATTAACGGACTGGAAACGGGCTTTCATCTGAAGCTCCCTGGCTGACAAATGGGACTGCAGCAACTCCACAGAGAAAGGGAAAGGGGCCAGGCAGGAGAGAAGCCAGGGAGCAGAGCTCTTTCTCTGTGTAGGAGGGGAGACCTTCTCCCTCCTTCCTGGAAGGAGTCTGAAGTGGAGGCAAGGAGACTTTGTGTGCGTGTAAAAGAGAAATGCCTTTACAGAAAGAAGTGTCTTCAGACAAGGAGTAGTCTCCTGAGATTGCTCTTGTACTTTTATGCCAGCAGATAGGGTAAGAGAGAGTGGCGTACTCCTGCCTTGGTTATTGGCTTTTAGTGTTTGATTGTCTTCTCCAATTGCTAAGCAATTTTATTTGCTCATCACTCCAATAACATTGTTACTGGGTGGCTCATAAATACAGGTGAAACTCGAAAAATTAGAATATCGTGGAAAAGCTTCACTTTTCTTTCAGAACCTCATTATGTAGAGCTGGTGGACGGGCCACACCGAACACTCTAGAAGGAAAAGGCTGTCCTTCCATAACATATCAGCAGTGCCACAGGCTGATAGCATCCATGCCATGCCGCATTGAGGCAGTAATTGATGCAAAGGGGCCCAAACCAAGTACTGAGTACATATGCATGCTTCTACTTCTCAGAGGTCCAATATTGCTCTATTTGCAATCCTTGTTTTGCTGATTTCATTTAATATTCCAATTTTCTGAGATTGTTAATTTGGGGTTTTCATCAGCTGTACGCCATGATCATCACAATTATAACAAGTAAAGGACTGACATATCTCGTTTTGCATGCCCTGAGTCTATCTCATATATTAGTTTCACCTTTTAAGTTGAATTACTGAAATAAATGAACTTTTCCACGATATTCTAATTTTTCAAGTTTCACCTGTATAAGATGATATAATAAAATGTAAATAAACTGTAAGCAGCCCTGGACTTTCAGAAGGGGAGGGAGGCGGGGGGGGGAGAGAAAACCTAGGCCCTAAGGGTACTTTCAAACAGCAACAGACTAAAGATGGACCTTACCCGCCCACTGACACCCACCTGCCCAATTGCTGCCAATGTTTGGGGCCTATGCGTGTAGTGGCAAAATCAAAATCAGGCAGAGTATGGGGCAAAACACACAACAGCAAAAGGGTGTGGCTGGTTGAGATGAGGTCCAGGAAGACTCCAGTGGCTGGAAGAATGCAGAACAACATTGCAGAGTGGAGAGAAGCTGCACTTTCAAGTCCCAAACTCAGCCACAGACACAACTGGAAAGGGCATAAGCCACTCAACGCTCAGCCTCAGTTCCGCATCTGTAAAATGGGAAGAGTGGGCTGCTTCAAAGGGAAAGCAGATGTCTGTGATCTTTGTGCTAAGACTGCAATTATAACTAAGGATATCCCAAAGAGCTGAGATGCTCATTATAATATGCATTCATCTTTCTCCACTGCCCTCCTCTCCTCTCTTCTCCTCTCCTGTCTGGTCCTCTCCCCTGCCTAAATGCTGTCAGCTCAATTCCCCCATGTCCCCCTCCCCAACTCCAGCAAGCAGAGGCTCCTGCTGCCGCAACAGGAGTTAGAGGCTCCCCAAAGACCTCGCTAATGAGCCCCATCAATTAGAGAAGAGTTATGTCTTGTGATTTGGCGCCTCCCCAGAACACAAAAAGTAGACAGGCAGGCTCCCACCACTCACAATCAAGACACCGCAGACCTAGGCCGCCTTTTCCCAGGTGTGT